CATGATATTCTTTGGGGTACAACATGGCTTCTTGTTCTTTGTATATCGAATGGTATTGGTATGATTCTGCAAGATTAAGGATTGATTTGCTCCCCTTTATTTATTCTTACAAGTGGTATCAGAGCCTTATATCATGTTGGGTTATTAGGATTACCGTTTTTTCTTTCTTTTGAATCAATTTCTTTGTGGTTGCCTCTCGATTGATGTACACATTCGGTTGTGTGTGCTTGAGGAGGGAAGACACAATCGGTGTTGCGTCTCTGGAACCAAAAAAAAAAAAGGGAAGACGCAATCGGTGTTACGTCTCTGGAACCCAAAAAAAAAAAGGAAGATGCATCAGTGTTGCGATGCGTCTCTAGAACCCAAGAATTCGCATTAGTGATTCGATGCGTCTACAGAACCGACTCAAAAAAAAAATTTTTGGGAGTCGTGATTTGCATGCATGTAAGTAATTTGCATGCGTCCGTTTTTCTCTCCTCTTGCATGGAAGTAACCTTGAACCTTTTTTGACTTTGTCATGCATGCGATGAATACAGTTTTGGATGAATGCTTTTTTTTTCTTTCTTTTCAAATTAAATTGATTGAAGCAGCATGTTACCAAAGTAGCCTCTGCAATGTAAAATTAATTTGATTTGAAATATAAAGATTTTGGGTGTTCATTGTCCATGCGGACATTGATCGGCCCAAAGGAAGGTTGATGTTTGGTCGGGCAGTGAACACACATGTGATGATTTGAAATATAAAGATTTTGTGTGTTCATTATCCATGTGGACATTGATCGGCCCAAAGGAAGGTTGATGTTTGGCCGGGCAGTGAACACATATGCGATGATGAAAATTGATATTGTAAAGCTATTATCCATGTGAATAGTAGTCGGTCCAAAGAAAGGCTATTGTTTGACAGGATTTATTATCAATGTTTGATTGTTGCGCTGAGAGTACCATTTACAATTGTTTCTGTGCAAACACTAAATGTCAAGTTGTATTGGGTATCTTGCCTTTGTAATTTATATTATTGATTATATGTCGTTTTTGTTCTCTGTTCAGTTTTGACAACTGCAAATAATGTTTCTTCTCAAATCAATGCCATTCCCATGCTGAATGGTACAAACTTTAAGATCTGGAAAGAGAATGTGGAAATCGTTCTCGGCTGCATGGATTTAGACCTTGCGTTAGGGACGGAGTGACCCATCCCGACTGAGGACAATTCCAATGAGGCCAAAGTTGAGAAATTGGATCGCTCTAATCGCATGAGTCTGATGATTATGAAACGTTCCATACCAGAAGCGTTTCGGGGCTCTATTTCTGAGAGCAATAATGCTAAGGAATCCCTTGTGGCGATACAACAGTATTTCGCCAAGAATGAGAAAGCGGAGACTAGCAACCTTTTAGCTACTCTAATTTCTATGAGGTACAAGGGAAAAGGAAACATAAGGGAGTAYRTACTGGAAATGTCRAATCTTGYKGGTAAACTAAAGGCACTAAAGTTAGAGATAAATGATGATTTGCTCGTGCATTTAGTTCTTATTTCTCTTCCTGCGCAATTCAGTCAATTTAAGGTGAGTTATACTACTCAAAAGGAGAAATTGACTCTTAATGAGCTCATTTCTCAATGTCAAGAAGAAGAAAGAATCCAGAGAGAAAAGACGGAAAGTGCTCACTTAGCATCAACCTCTCAAAATAATAAAAAAAAGAGGACTAAGGATACTGCCAATGGAATACCCACGCAGAAAAAGGCGAAGAAGCAAGGTGATGGATTTACTTGTTTTTTCTGCAAGAAAGGAGGATACATGAAGAAAGAGTGTCCAAAAAATGCCGCCTGGCGCATAAAGAAGGGTATGTCTCTCACTTTAGTTTGTTCTGAGGCTAATTTARCTTHTGTACCTATAGACACTTGGTGGATAGATTCTGGCGCTACTACTCACATAAGTGTGTCTATGCAGGGTTGCATCTGGAGCCGACCGCCAACTGATGCTGAAAGATTCATCTATGTAGGCGATGGCAATAAAGTTCCTGTGGAAGCTGTGGGACATTTGTAGCTTCGTCATTTAAACGGATCTTAATTTGTATTTCCTATTTAGACAAATCTGGTTACTTTAGTGGTTTTGGAAATAATAAAGTTAGAATTTCTCTAAATTCAAATATTATTGGTACTGGTATTTTAATTGATCGTCTTTATATGTTAGAAACTATGCTTCCCACATTGCAATCCTGCATGCAAGTACTAAAGGTGCAAAGCGTAAATTAACCGAGAATTCTGCTTCCTTATGGCATAAGCGCTTAGGCCACATCTCTAAATAGAGAATTCAGAGGCTTGTGTCGGACGGAATTCTTGATTCCCTTGATTTAACGGACTTCGAAATCTGTATTGAGTGCATTAAGGGAAAATTAACGAACACAAAGAAAATAGGTGCCAATAGATGTACGAAAGTCTTAGAACTTATACATACGGACATCTGTGGGCCATTCCCTACGCCTGCATGGAATGGCCAGTAGTACTTCATTACGTTCATAGATGACTATTCACGGTATGGGTACCTATACTTAATAAGTGAGAAGTCTCAATCCCTGTATGTTTTCAAGTTTTATAAAGATGAAGTTGAACTTCAACTTGGTAAGAAAATTAAAGCCGTCAAATCTGACCGTGGTGGGGAATACTATGGCAGATATGATGGATCAGGAGAGCAACTTCCAGGACCCTTTGCTAACTTCCTAAAGGAATGTGGTGTCGTCCCACAGTACACCATGCCGGGTACACCCAGCATGAATGGTGTTGCTGAAAGACGAAACATGACACTTAAGGACATGGTAAGGAGCATGATTAGTCATTCTTCTTTACCTGAATCACTTTGGGGAGAAGCATTAAAAACTGCAGTGTATATCCTTAACAGAGTACCCAACAAAGCAGTAACTAAAACCCCATATGAGTTGTGGACTGGGAAAAAGCCTAGCATAAGGCACCTACACATTTGGGGATGTCCAGCTGAAGCGAGGCCTTATACGCCCAATGAAAGGAAATTGGACTCTAGGACAGTTAGCTGTTACTTTGTTGGATACGTGGAACGTTCTTGAGGGCTCAAGTTCTATGATCCCACTACCCGCTCCTTCCTTGAGACGGGAAATGCGAGATTTCTTGAAGATGTTGAGTTTGGAGGGGAAGAATTAAGGAACGTATCTTTTGACGAAACAATTGTCTTGCAAGAAGAGAAATTCATTTCTCTTCCTGATATTATTATCGATAGTGATCAGACAACAATGCCTGACACTGTTCATGAAGCGATTCCGGTTCAAGACAACAATGAAGTTCCTTCCATAGAGCAAACTCAACAACCTGAAGAAGTGCCATTGAGGAGATCCAACAGACAAAGGAGAAGTGTGATTTCAAATGACTATATCGTGTTCTTCCTAGAACAAGAAGATTCGGTAGGCTTAGCGGAAGATGATCCAATCACCCTTCGCGAAGCCCTTCAAAGTTCTAATTCTCAACATTGGATCAATGCCATGCAAGAAGAGATGAAATCCATGAAAGACAATGACGTTTGGGATCTTGTCGAGTTGCCTGAAGGCTCGAAACCCATTGGTTGCAAATTGATACTTAAAACCAAAAGGGATTCAAAAGGCAATGTTGAAAGATATAAGGCTCGTCTAGTCGCAAAAGGTTTCACTCAAGGGGAAGGCATTGATTATAAAGAGACATTTTCTCCGATTTCTTCGAAGGACTCCTTTAGGACAATAATGGCACTTGTAGCTCATTTTGATTTAGAGCTACATCAGATGGATGTAAAGACAACGTTTCTCAATTGAGACATTGATGAAACAATTTATATGGTTCAGCCA